AATAATAATTTATAAATTATCAAGGGTTCATGAGGGAGAGGGTAGCGGGGAGGGAGGGGAAAAATGAGGAGCTGATACCAAGGGCTCAAGTAGAAAGAACATGTTTTATGAATGATAATGGTTACAAATGTACAAATGTGCTGGACACAAATGGATGGATGTATGGATTGTGATAAGAGTTGTACGAGCCCCCAATAAAATGATTTTTATAAAGTGGAGACATAAACACAAGATGAGCAGGTGTGAGACTGAGAGTAGACTACTCAGGAGCATCAGTAAGGTTGACAGCATAGTTCTACATTTTCCTTTATGCTATAAATAAATCCATGATTATAGACAAGCACACAAGGGCCAAAGGTATAAAGGCTTCTAAATAGGTGGAGCCCTGGTGGTGTTGTAGCTAAGCATTAGGCTGCCAACCACGAAGTTGGTAGTTCAAACCCACCTGCTAATCCACAGGAGAAAGATGAGGCTGCCTGCCCTCAAAGAGATTTACAGACTTGGGAACCCTAAGAAGCAGGACCTACAGGGTTCCTATGAATGCAAACGTTGGAAACAGAGGAAGCAACAGTAGTTGGAACATAGACCTTTGGTGATAGAAATGAAATGAGATCACATGATAGAATTTTGCAAAACCAACAACTTGCTCATAGCAAATACATTTTTTTCACAACACAAAAGGCAGCTATACTTAGGAACTTCTCCAAATGGAATACATAGAAATCAAATATACTACATCAGTGAGAAGACACAATGTAGAAGCTCACTGTCAGCAGCTATAACCAGACCAGAGGTCAACTGTGGAACAGTTGCTCATATGTAAGTTCAGGATAAAGCTGGAAAAAAATTAAGATAAATACAGAAGAGCCAAAATATGGCCTTGAGTCTATTCCACCTGAATTTCAAGAACCTTTCAGGAACAGATTTTACTCATTGAATACTAATAACAGAAGACCAGATAAGCCATGGGAAAACATCGAGACCATCATTCATGAAGAAAGCAAAAGGTCATTCAAAAAACAGGAAAGAAAGAAAAGTGGATGTCAGAAGAGACTCTGAAATTTGTTCTTAACCATAGAGTCACTAAAGCAAAGGAGAGAAAGAATGCCATCAAAGTGTTGAATAGAACATTCCAAAGGGCAGCTCGAGAAGACAAAGCCAAATATTATAAAGAAATGTGTCAAGACCTAAAATCAGAAACCCTAAAGGGAAGAACAAGCTCAGCATACCTTAAACGTAAAGAATTGTAGAAAAACACTGAGGCCCCATGGTTCAAGACTGAGAGATTCTATGGGCAAAATATTGAATGGTGCAGGGAACATCAAGAGAAGATCGAGTCCACAGAGTCACTGGACCAAAAAGAACTCGTCCACTGTCCGCCATTCCAGGAGGCAGCATATGGACAAGACCCAATGGCGTTAAAAGAAGAAGTTCAAGAGGCACTGAATGCATTAGCCCAAAACAAGGCTCTAACCATTAATGTAATGCCACTGGAAATGTTTCCTCAAGCTGAAGAAACACTGGCATCACTCACTTGTTTAGGCCAAGAAATTTGGAAGACAACTGCTTGGCCACCTGAGTGGAGAGATCCATATGTGTGCTCATTCCAAAGAAAGGTGACAGAATGCTCCAACTACAGAACAATCACGCTATCACACGCCAGTAAAATTTTGCTGAAGATCATCCAACAACAGTTGCAGCAGTACATTGACAGGGAACGGCCAGAGGTTCAGGCCAGATTCCGAAGAGGACATGGAATAAAGGATATCGTTGCTGAAGTCGGATCTTGGCTCAAAGCAGAGAATACCAGAAAGATGGTTACTGGTGTTTTATTTGCTATGCCAAGGCATTCGACTTGTGGACCCTAATAAACTATGGATAACCTTGAGAAGAATGAGAATTCCAGAGCACTTCGTTGGGTTCATGAGGAACTTGTACATGGATCAAGAGGGTGAACAGAACAGGGGAACACTGCGTTGTTTAAAATCAGGAAGGAGGTGCATCAGGGTTGTTCAGTCTGGATGCTGAGCAAATAATCAGAGCAGCTTGATGATAGGAAGAATGAGGCGTCACGTTTGGAGGACCGCTTACGCAGACGACACATCCTTGCTCGCTGAAAGTGAGGAGAACTTGAAGCACTTGCTGATGAAGAGCAAGGATTGCCACCTGCAGTATAGATCACCACTCAACGTAAAGAAGACCCAAACCCTCACAACGTCACCCATAGGTAATATGATAAAGGGAGAAAAGGTTGACGCTATCAAGGATTTTGTCTTGCTTGATCCACTATCAATGCTCATGGAAGCAGCAGTAAACAGCTCAAAAGACAAGTTACATTAGGTAAACCTGCTGCACAAGACCTCTTTAAAGTATTGACAAATGAGGATGTTACTTTGAGGACTAAGGTGTACCTGACCCAAGCCATAATATTTTCAATTGCCTCACATGCATGTGAAAGTCAGACAATAAGGAAGACCAAAGAAATATAAATGCATTTGAACTATGGTGTTGTGAGGTTGGTGCTGGCGTGGGTCTCCATGTGCCTCCTCCAGCTCCAGGGCTCTGGCTCCATCAGTGTAGCTCCATGTGGCTTGTCAGCAGGAATGTCCCTCGGGGAATGAGCGTGTGTCCCGCCTCTAGAGAGCTACTTATCTCATTAGCACCTCCAAATGAGGTCATCAAGCTGAGACCTGATTGACAGGCTAAACTGCACCCCTTTACCCTTTTTTAAAAAAAATCATTTTATGTGGGGGCTCATACAGTTCTTACCATCCATTGTGTCAAGCACATTTGTACATTTGTTGCCATCATCATTTTCAAAACATTTTCTTTCTACTTGAGCCCTTGGTATCAACTCCTCATTTCCTTTCCCTCCTTCCCGCATGAACCCTTGATAAATTATAAATTATTCTTATGTTCATATCTTACATAATCCGCTGTCTCCCTTCACCCACTCTTCTGTTGTCTGTCCCCCTGGGAGGGGGTTATATGTAGATCCTTATGATTGGTTCCCTTTCTCCCCCACCCGTACCCCTTCCCCTCCTGGTATCACTACTGTCAATATTGGTCCTGAGGGGTTTATCTCTCCTGGATTCCCTGTGTTTCCAGCTCTTATCTGTACCTGTGTACATGCTCTGGTCTAGCCGGATTTGTAAGGTAGAATTGACCCCTTCACTCTTAAGAATCTCAAGTTGACAACAGATTACGTAACTACCACAGGCTCTATCTCTGTTTAACCCCAGTGTCTAGCCCCAGAAGCACTGTTGCCTGAAGGAGGTCTACATCACCTGGTCTACATCACCTGGCTGTTGTGAGGGCACAGTGAGATAATGCTGGTTAACTGCCTGTCAAAGAGCTGACTCATAGTGGGTGCTCAGGGCAGGTAGGAGCTAGTACTATTGTTACGTGGCCATTAATGACTCAGGGTTATGACTCAGGGGACTGGGAGGCAGTGACTACTGTCATGGAGGCCAAGTGTCCCAGAAGCGGACTGAGACAGGGTCCTGGGCCCAATGAGCCTCCGAGCCTTAATGCTGGTGGCCCTAATGTCTCTTCTTAGGAGTATCCAAGAGATACTTGCTTCTTCAGGCAGCATGGGGACAATGATAGCTTGGCTCATCAGTTATAAGCCAGCCTTGTTTGGGTTCTTGTTCCTTCTGCTGTTGCTTAGCAACTGGCTGGTCAAGTATGACCGTAGGCTCGCACCGCCAAGACCCAGTCAGGTGAGCGAGAGTTGGCTTAGCTTCAGCTAAGGGTTCCAAAACAGCTAGATAAGGACGTGCATGGGAAGGTAAGGGGCATGGAGGGGGTGGGGTGGCGTGAAGTTGAATCATGGAGCAAGAATAAAGAATCTAAGCCTCTGTCCTAAGTCCCTGCTACAAAGTTTCCGCTTGGTGATTGTGGACAAGCTGCTTCCCCTCCCCTTCCCTAGGCCTCAGTTGCCTCCGCTGTAAAACAGGACTATCCCAGAGTCTCCAGACACTGCCACATGCCCACCAGTAGGCAAGAGCGCTTCCCACTGGGCGGCAGGGTGGGGTGGGGGTAGGAGGACAGCCTGGTCTAGATGACAGGTTAGGGAGGGGGCCAACTGTGAGAGCGGGGGCCTCCAAGGGATTGCATTGCAAGAGATGCTTCATCTCTGGGTGCTGGATGTGGGCACATGGGTATCTGTCCTTTTGATTTTTATTTTTGGTTTGGCATGTCTAAAGTATTTAATTTGTAAATGCTTGTAAAGACCAAGACTTGTTAGTCAAATCTACAAAGAACAAATCAAGTATTATTATTACTAACCAGCGGGGGTGGGGGTGGGGGTGGGGAGGACACCGCTGGGCCTGAGAAGACTGGGAACAACAGGCTCCGGGTAGAGAGCGAGTTGGTCGAAGGGCTGTAGGTTCCTCTGACCTTTCAGCCCCACTGCTTTTGGGGTCGTTTCTGAGTCACGGTGTGCCCACGTGCTTTCGAGAACTGCATCCGAAGGGTTTCCCGGGATTGTGCAGATGGCTGAGAGAAGACCCACGGGGGCAGTTCTGCCGTGTCACCTGGCATCCCTGCAAATCAGAACCCACTCGGCAGCACCCCTCTGCCACCACATCCTGTGGCAGGTCCCTGGGGAGCGCACAGGGTTTGCACCTGACTGCTGACCCATCCTGTAGCACCACGGAAGAGAAGGCTGGCAATCTGCTTCTGTAAAGATGACAGCCAGCATCCATCTCCCTTTCGGCCCATTCTAAAGCTATTTCCGTTTCAACAAGAAAAACAACGAAGGGGAGATACACATGAATGACAGTGGACCAGGGTGTGAATGGTCTCGCGGACAGCAGAGCGCATTGCAAGGGGATTGCGGTCGTGCGTGCGGGAGGTCACAATGTAGCACCCTCTCGTTTGATCTCCCTGTGACCCATCGAAATGTGTTCTACTTTCTCATATGTTCTGCCCTCTTTTCCACTGAGGTGTGTATCAGCTGTACTGTGTCATTCTTGTGAGCTTGTTCTTGTTTGTTTTTTAACGTGTGTCTGTCTGGGAAATCCAGGACCGGCAATCTGTAGAGACGGTCACTGGGTGACGGCTTCCTTGGGGCGGGGGAGGCTGGGGGAGTGAGGAGCTCCCGACATGCTCGACAACTCTTCTTGACGCGACTGAGCGATTGGATTGTATGATACGTTAATTATAGGCCTAGAAAACTGTTGGGGGGGCTAGGGGTGGGGAGATCACAGCCAGTGGGGTCTCTGTGAGTCACAGTGGACCAGACGGCCATCGCTTTGGGTTTGGGGTTTCCCATCTTTGGGGGCACCACGGAGTGGCTGTGCAGCACCGCCTGCCTGTCAGCTGGTCCAGCATCAACCACCCATGCCACTCGGGAGTAGCCTCACTGAAGACTAGGGGGGGGGTCACTTCATTTGTTCCTGGGAACCAGGGGCCACTGCGGGTCCAGGGAGCTTTGGGCTTCAGGTCGTGGGGTGCTGAGAAGAGGCCTCATCTTCCCCTCTCCCCAGTTCTCACATCCTCAAGATGCAGCAAAAATGTGCCCTTGGTCAGGAGGGGAAAAAAAAAAGTGCCCTTGGTGGGGGATTTTGAGAATGGAGTCAGGGGCACGCTTAACCAGCCGCGTGTCTTAAAGACGTTTCCAAACGAGCAGGGAGTGATCCTCATTAACCCACCTTTCCCCTTTGCCTGCCGGCGGGACTTAGGAAGAAGCAGAGATGTCTCTGGAGTGCAGAGCCAGCCCCAACGACGCCGTCTACACGCACGCGAAAGACCTGGAGAAGATGCACGCCTGCTTCGCCCTTCAGGACAAGCTGCTGGAGCGGCTGGTGTTCAGCGAGATGAAGCTGAAGGTCTTGGAAAACCAGATGTTCATCGTGTGGAATAAGATGAATCACCACAGGAGGCCAAGCCGGGGGCGGGCTTTGTCCTTGAGGAAGCAAAAGATGAAGCGGCACCAATCGATTTGCTCCATTTTCTCTCAAGACACCAGCAACTGCTTTTCCTAACCAGGGCCGAGGGGCAGCGGCGGCGGCGGGCTCTTCAGGAAACCTTTACTCAGTAAAACCCGGTCAGAGATGGTTGCATGTTCTTAGTAAGTCCCCTGGGAGAGGGACAGAGGGGCCAGGTGGAAGGCCATTCCGGGAGCAGAAATCTGCCCCGCCCTTAGCTCCTTACTGCGTGCCCCAGCCCTCACATCGCATCGTGAGGTCCCTTGTTGCCCACTTTTGAAAGGAGGCAGGGTCTCTGGAGCCCAGCTGCCTGGGTTCCCGGCCCGACTCTACCAGCTCTCCGCTGCTGATTCTCCCAGTGCCCCGGCTCCCTTCACTGTACACTGGGGAGCGTAACTGTGCCCACTGCACAGACCGCTGGGAGAGGTGAAGGTGCCCTTCGACATCTTTGCTCAACTGGCACCTTCTTAGTGAGGACTGCTTTGCCCTACTTCAGGTGTCTGCTACTTGCCTCTCTGGGTCTACTCTGTACCGTCCCCTCCTCCTTTTCTGCTCGTGGACCAACCTGGAGGGGCTGCAGCCTCAGGGCCTCGTTCCCCGGGACTTCCAATTGCGGTTGGTCCGTGGAGATCCTTGGCGGAAGGGTGGAACAAAGAGGGATGTTGCGTTGCTAGGCCCCCTCCTCCAGCCCGCTCCCTCCGTGGGGCTGCCTCCGACTAGTTTGGAGCTGCCTAGGTCCCTTCAGCGAGGATCAGGTCTCTCAAGGAGGCCCTCTCTATGCCACTCTCCCCTTGCCGGCTCCCTTGGAGACCAGAAGTCAGAGCATCCTCCCAGCCTCCAGCCCCAGGATGCTACACTTCTTGTGGGTTCCCTACACCCATTTGCAAATACTCCCTTTCCCACATCTTCATGGGCCATCCATTGCCAATGGTCTTGCTGTATGATCAGGCCATTGGGCACCGTCCCCCCACCTTCCCCCAGAACAGGCCCATTAGGAGAATACCTTATAGTGAGGATCCCCTGCCCCTGGAAACTGATTAGTTCAGCCATAAACTTAAGCATAATAAGTCTGTCCCACAGGAAAGCCCACTCACAGCACGGCACCTTGAAGACATCATGCAAAACATGGATCCAAACGCTGTGCCCACTAAGTTTCCTAAAGCTGCCGAACGAACTGACCACAAAGTGAGCGGCTTCGAACAAAATAAATGTGTTATCTCAAGCTCTAGAAGCTAGAAGTCCAAATCCGGGGTGTCAGCAGGGCCAGGCTCCCTACAAAAGCTCCTTTCTTGTCTCCCAACTTCTGGTAGCCCCAAGCTTTCTTTGCTGGTGACTGCAGCCGAACGCCCCTCCGGTCTCCATCATCACATGGTTGAGGTCTCCCTTGGTGCACCCCCCATATGTGGGGGTCTCCTCCTCTTTCCGAGGCCACCACTCACATTGGATTAGGACCCACCCTATTCCAGCATCACCACGTCGAATGACAACATTTTCAAAGACCCTATTTCCAAACCTGGTCACATTCAGAGTTACAGAGGTTTAAGCATGCCTATTTAAAGGACACCGTTCAGTCCAAAACGGTGGCGATTGCATCACTTTGGCCTGGTGGAGCTGTGCCTGGACCTTCTGAAAACAGTGAAACCGAGGTCCAAGTTGGCTCAATGGGAGTTCATTGGACCTATGAAGTTCCTGGTGCTCACCTGGTGTGTACGACCTGCCAGCAACATGAGCCTATGGCTTAGGTGAACTAGGTGCAATTACCTGTGGATCTGACCAGCTCTCAATGGGCAGATTAGTTACAGTGGATTCCAGCTACACGGGCATGCATGCTCTAGGCACGTGGCGGCTGCTCCCTTTCACCAGCAGACAGGACCCAGATGCTTAGGGCTCGGATGATCTCCAGTGCTGTGGGCTAGTGTTTCCTGATACAATACCATCTGCCAAGGACCACTGTTTCCACCTCCACCCTCCATGCCGGGCCGGTCAACATGGAATTCCCCTGCTCCTGCACACTTACCACCTGTGATGCTTGACTCAGGGAGCAGCACCCGCCACTCCTGCATCATCTGCCAACATGGCGGAAGAAGAGCCCACCTGATGCGTGAAGACCCGCGAGTTCCGTCTCTAATCACCCTCCTGTTGTTAAGCACACATGGATTCGGGTGAGTGGCTGGTAAGCTCACAGTGGCCTCGCTGGACATGACTGTGTCCTGTGTACTACTGGGGTGGCACTACATGGACAGATCTTCTGGTCAGGCAGCTTCGACTGCTTCTCCCTGGAGGTGGGTGCCCTGTGCTCCCACCATCCATCAGTCCTGTGAGGGAGGGGGTACCATGGTCCCTGTGGCTGTGTTTGGGGTCCTTTGCCCTGTGGCCACCTTCCTGGACCTCCCCTGTGCCCCGCTGCAAAAGCAAAAGTAAGCAGCTGCTCTCATCATGAACGAGTCCAGGCTGACTGGTCAGACAGAGATGGGTGGAACCCTCGAGGCTGCTCCTTAGCGACCTTTTGGGTCAGGAACTGAACTCACCCCAGGGCTCCGTTCTCAGCCAAACGAGAACGTTCGAAGAGTCCACACATCTTAGAATAAAGCAACCTCGGAGATCCCAGGGGCAGGACTTGCCCACAGACAAAGCTCAGAAGGGTGAGGCAGAAGGGGGGACGGAACCCCGCAGCGCTGGGTGGGCGTGGGATGAGCAAGAGCCCCCAGAAGGGACTGCAGTGAAGGAGATGAGGCAACGTACGTATGGATTGTCGAGTGTAAGCGGATGATCTGCTCTGGAAACCTCTATCCAATTCACAATTAAAAGTTAAAAATCATAAAGAGGAAAGACAAACAAACCACTCCCCAAACCAGTTGCCGTCAAACAGATTCTGCCTCATGTATTTCGGAGTAGAGCTGAGCTCTACTCTGTACGTGAATTGGAAGGTAGAGGGGCGACTCCTGGGACCCCGTGGAGGGAGTTGCTCGGAGAAAGGACAGGTCTGACTCACCCCAGGGGCAAGGCAGACCCCGGGTGATCAGGGAAAATCATAGGCAAGCAATCTCAAGACGCAGATCAGTGCAGAAGGGGAAATAGTCCCTTGTCTCCTCTTCCAGATTTGGACCGGCAGTGCTAACCAGCCTCTTGCAACTACTGTACCTACATCAGGGCCCCGGCACCAGCTCTGGGAAACCATATAAAGTCTCACTGACAGCAGCAAGGGCCCTGCTAAGGACCGCCCGTGGCTACAGACAGCTCTACCTCGCCTCCCCACGATTGTGTGCCTGTCCTCTGTGCTAACGGTGTTGAGGCCAGCCAGCAGACCCCAGAGCGGAGCCCTCTGAAGGCCCGGGATTTGATTTGTGGGCTGGGTTTATGCTCTCCTTTGCTTTCTTCTTGGACACAATCTCACCTGCACAGGGACCTACGACGAGGACCTAACACTTGTGGGCACAGGCAATTTCCCCAGGAATAGCCCGGGACAAGAGACTCCTGGGTATTAAGTAGCTGGAGTATGGAATTAGACATCTTCCGTAGGTTTTTCTCCACACGATGGTCCACACATCCATGACCTCGGAGGAAATTTACCCCGGGGACAGCCAGATGGTTGAGACTTGTCCAGGCTGATGCTGGACAACCAGTAGGCCAGGTTAGTTGCTGGTCAGCAGAGGCACAGTCGCATTGCCCAACATGCATTGCTGCTTCTCAAGTTAACCCCTGTGGAGAAGACAAGCAGCCTGCGATAGCTCCTTTATGCGCAAGTTCGTGGATCTAGGCCACTTCTTGATCTGAGCCTATAGAGCTGTCAGGCTTGGTGTGGACGCCACGACCAGACGGCGCAGGCTGTTACTCTTCCTTCTACCGTGCCCCCTCCAGCATCAACACCCCCCACAGGAAGTCTCATTCTGGGCCCAGTTGATTGCGGCCTCAGGTGGGTGGGCTGCAGTGTGATGAGGTCAGGGGACAGATCTGGGAGCAAGCAGTCGGGCTGTGTGGGTAGATCCTGGGGGTGTACTCTGAGTTCCTAGCAATGAGATAGCTGGTGGGTTCCCCGGGGGCTTCTTTCCCTGCAGTGCACTTCCTTAGCCACAACGCAGTCTTTGACGCTCTCTTGTAAAGACCGGTGGGTCGATGCAAATAAGTATCTGACAATATTTGGAAGCCAAGTGTGGAAGCTACTAGTAGTAACACTAGGGTTCTCAGTGGCTGATTCCCCTGAAGTGGGCAGCCGACCGATCGCTGCTTCCTCGTCTGTTCTTAGAAGTCTGGAAGCGCCACTGAGCCCTGCTCACTTTGAGGGCATTTGACATACTCCTGCAAAGCATCTGGCTGCATCACAGCAACACACAAGCCACCTCCGGACGACCCAGGGACAGGTCAGAGGAGCGATCGTGAGGACAGTGCAGGCCCGGGCAAGATCTGGTTCTATGGATTGGAACCAACGTGGTGACAGCCACGGCAGCGACAACCTGCAGGTAAGGCCAAGGTCGCTGTGGTGGTTAATGGGATGAATGCACTTGACTCTGTTTCGGTTTTCCGCGTTTTGTCAGGATGTAATTTTGTCATTTGGGAGCTATGTAATGATGTAATTGTCCTCCGTTTTGTGATATGCCTCTGTGTCTGTGGATATGGTCCCACTTGGGAGTGAGCTACCTAGTCGGTCAATCAGGCCGAATTATGTGGATGTATCTTGAGTCACCGCCTTACTAGAGGGCGTGGTGACAATCACTACTCTTACACCCCCCCCACCCGCCCCTCACCCCTGTCATCACTACCCTTCATATCCTTTCTCCATCTTGCTCAAGTAAAGGGAAGTTTCCTTGAGGGCAGTGGCTCTCAACCTTTCTAACGCCGCACAGATTGAGAACCACTGCTTGAGGGTCTGAGCTGCATCCCACATATATACGTGTTCTGGAAGAGTTCTCTCTTGTCCTGGATGCAGCATCCAATTCATCATCCCCTCTTCTGCTGGTCTTGGGCCTTAGCCAGAAGCCTCCCATCTAATCCCTTGATTTTGGGTTCTTCCGGCCCTGCAAGGCTTCAGGAATTGGTGGAATACCAATGGAAATGTTTTA